TGTCTTCGGAGCATTGCCCGAATCTGGTGGGAACACCGGATCAGCAATTCTGAAGTACGTCGAATGGTATTCGGGAGAAATAACTCATCCTCGATAGATGACCTGATCACACTGCACAGGTTGCGCTGGCTTAGCTACGTGCTGCGTATGCCAGTCGACCGGCTCCCACGAAGGGCTCTTTTCGCCGAACCATGTGAAGGGTGGAAGAGAGCCAGAGGCGGTCAAACAATGACTTGGCAGCGAAGTATGAAGGCCATTACCAGCAAACTCAGCTGCGCTGGTCACTGCCGTCTTCCTGGATGGGGACCCCGAGACGGGCCACATCAATGGCTAGAGACATTATCAGACATGGCCCAGTCGCGCCCTCAATGGTGCTCATGCATCCAAGCTATTGCCTTCAATGCATAGCTCCTTTTCCACCCCCACCCCCACTTGACAGCCCACTGACTGCTGGATTTATGCACCAATTTATCATCTCCCGCCTGCAATGCGCAGCTACCTACCCCCCCCCCAATCATCGGTGAACGAAACTGTGGCAGCTGCAACCACTGTACGACGAGTACGCGGTTCTTACAGCTGACAGTGATGATGATGACTAGGTCCCTTTCGTACAGATGCTCCTATTTTAGCCTTCTGGATTTCGAAAATAAACTTGCTGGCGTTGCACACTGCAAAGACCAGAGACCCGAGTGATCAGTAAAATAGGAGAAACTAGATTTCATAACTACACGAGTAAAAAGACCGTGCGTTGAATTGGTATCTGTCGCACTCGCGTTCGAAAAATGCCTATGTAATTCACATATTTCATTCGAATGGAGTTCGAACGGCCACCGTTATGCCAAGCGGAATTATGAAGAAAAAACTAAATTCGAGTCAGTTGTGATTCTTCTGATGCTAACTAACTCGAATAGCTGCGAATGCAATTGTGAATGCAAGTGTGAATGCGATTTCCATGGTGACGAATGGGAAACACCCATCTAAAAGGCACAAAGGAATAAAACATCTTGACCACTTCCAAGTTCTGCGCATTAGAACTGCGGCAGTCCTTCCGTACGGTAACCACCCTCTTCTCCTAAGAAACGCATCCAAGTGGAAAATTTGCAATCTAATTTTATTCTCAATGAAAATTCGCTGTTGTAATATGGTTCCCTGGTTGGTGAGTATGAACAATTTAAATCCACTCTGTGAAGTCGGTCTTGTTTCGTCCGGTAATTAACCAGAACAAGTCGGTAACTGACAAGTGATTTGCAGCTTGTGGTTGAGAGCACCTGATACAAAATATTATGAGACTCAGCTGGATACAGTAGTTGGAAGATTTCGGATTCTGGGTAGTGTGAAGTGTGGTGTAAAGTTAAGGGACATTAAATGGAGAATCAAATGCCAAAAGAATGAAAAAAAACTGGAAAAAAGGGGCTTCTCCGGAACCAAACGAGCAGACAAGCCAGCAGTTCGTCTAATTTGTAGATGCATTTGGAAAAATCATGAAGGATAAAATATTTTTTCTCGGAATACTGGTACTCTATTCAGTTAATCTCCGTTTCAGTCTCCTAAATTTGTACATAAGTTTGTGGAGACTAGAATACAAAGTTTTCCTAACCTTGTTTGGTTCTGTCGTCGTCCCCACGTCCATTTAAGTAGTACCTCGAAGGAAGAAAAAGTTTGGGTACGCCAGGATGGTGTTTCTTATTGGGTGTTTTATTAAGAGGCCGTTCATTCAAACAAGTCCCTACCGAGGATGGGCATTGGTACAGATGGTTTCTGCAAAAAAAGTGAATCTGTGAAAGGTTACACAAGACATCCAGGAGTTTCATCACTCCCTGAGTTTTGTACACAGGCTCTACGTTTATGTAGGAACTGAGGTTGCACACAAACTTACCACGGACTGTCTTGACTGCAACATGTGTTGAAGCGTCCGAAATATTCTGTCCGACATGCGACGGTAACGGACCGTGGACGGTTGCATGATAAACTGAGCTGAAGTTACCCTGCGCTATTAGGTGTTCAATCAAGACACAAGAAGCATCAACCTCCCACGCAGCACAATGAGAGAATGATGCTGATAGGCGATACATTGCGGATACTGTCGGTTTCTTAAAAATCCGCTTTCGATGTCTGTACCGTTCGTTTGACACTGCAGAAGAAGCGGCGGTGTGGACAGAGTCGCATCGTTTATTGTATGCATCGATATTACCAAGAGCCGTCTGCAGTGCTGTATCCGGTGGATAGAGGTCATGGAAATGGCACATGAGGTTGAGCTTCCGAGTGGGTTTGTTTGTGAAACCTTTGGCCCGATATGTCCTGGATATCAGCTCCACAACTACAGGCTTTCGGCGAGAACGAATCCAAACGGCAAAGACGATAAGAAGGATAAAGAAGGCTGCGAAGCAAATGAGCAGTACGACCAATTGTCGGAAGTTGAATTTGATGGCTGAGGGCAAAGGAAAAAAGTGGAATACGGTGAATTTAAACTGGATCGAATAGATAGAACAGTGTAGAACCTGGTGGAATGAGTCTATTTACATTGTTGAGAAACATGGATGCCTTGACAATTAGTTTTACTTGGACTGACTCCTGCGACGGGAGAGCAAAGTATCAACACCTCTTGTTGTGTGTCACATCTCTAGAAATTTTCTCTCCGCGGTCCATTTTCGGCCTTTCGTAAGGTCTTCTGTGACTTTTAGGCATAGAAAAAAGCCGGGCAATGGCCAAACGGACTCTGTTGGAGGACTACTGGACTCAGGTGTTGGAGCCAGCCGTTAGGAACCACGACTCTTGCTTCTCAATCACCTTTCTTGAGTACCGCGTGTCGTATGGAAACCACGGACAAACGCACTCATCGATGGCATAAGTTATATCAAACAGAAGACTAGTCTTAATAGAGGTATCATTCAACAGTGCGTTATTGCGCTGCGAAAAGTCGGCAAGCATTGTTTCACCCTTAACGAGAATTGGCAGCAGCGTGCACGTCATGAAACCCAAGAGAGCCTCGATCCCGTGTGATCAGCCTGAACCTAGACGGGATATAGTGCCTTATCCTTCAATCAGGTGATTCACATCACATGTTCACGTGTTGACCAGCTCCCCGAGTGACGAATTCTCATAGCATCAATCTTCTAGGACATACGAGACAACTCGAGTTGGGTTGAGTTTTGAGACTTTGGTGCCCTGTTATCCTCTTCCGTTAATCAGACGCCACAGTGTAGACTACGAAAACGCCCAAGCAGACAGAAGTCGGTCACTGCTTTAGGTGAATCGTGAGCCAACTCATCAATCTGTAACAGATCCCAAAGGATATAGGAGAATAGCTAGAACCAATGGTCTACCTTCTAAATGAACGTTGAAATTGGCATATCACTTAAGCCCAGGAAGACAGTGTCGATGGTGTTCAATCAGAATGAAACGGCTGCATAGCGCTCCGTGGATTCAGAGCACCGGCTGCTTTGTTACGCCAGCCCGAATTAACCCAAACTGAGCGGCTAAGAAGTGTTCTACGAATTTTGTCTCCTCGTGTGAAAGCGTAAACAAAAGAACCCCTGGGGTAGATTAAACTCAACTACACGTGACGCAGTCTGCACAGGAAACTCAACGCATGTGCTGTGCTACCTGCATCATTCAACTGACTACTCCTATAAATGTCCAGGTATCGATAACACAGAGTGAGTGTCAGAAGGCCACTGAAAAAGAGCAAAGTAGCCCGTATCAAAAGCGCACCAACGAAGAAAACCTCTAAAAGGCAATGGTGCTCGCGTCCTTGGGAGGAGCAACAACACCTCAATCGAGTGTAGCTAAGTTTTCTCATTTCGTTTTATCTCATCGTAATCTGTGCAACTGTATACCTTGACAACCTCAGCTACCACTAATTTATTAGTATGAAAACACTAATCAGTAAATTGAGTTGGATCGATAACTGCCGCCTCCCTAGATGGGGACCCCGGGACTCAACTCACCAATGATTAGTGACACTGGCAGAACTGCGCAGTTGGTGACGCTCGTACGTCAAAGCTATCATCTTCAACGCGTAGCCATCCAATTCCAAAATTGGCCAAACATGCCATTGCCTCCGAGGCTTGGCTGTATGTCCCATACTCTTTCACGTTCTGGTGATCGCGACTGCAGCAGCTAGAATCAATGTACCCATGTTACGTGGTGTATAGCTGATAAACTGAACTGAATTAATGCAGCCAGCGGTCCCGCCAACAGGACAAATCCTTGTAGGCTATAGCAACACCTGCGAGCTGTCACATTTGTCGGCCCAATGGCTCAATTATAATTGTACGTGAAACAGTATCTCGAACCAGATAGATGACTTCATACGGAAAGACAAACAAGCAGACAGGGGGTGCAGACCGAGAACCATGTTGCTGTCAGTAGACCAGGACAGAAACTATCCTCAGTGGTGTCGGTAGCTGTTGATAACGGGCCCTTGTCTAGGCAGATTGTTTCAAAATTACTACCGGTTATTCCGATATCGTCCAGGTTCTCCCGGAACGGCGTTCCTTAATCTGCTATCTACTTATGGAGCCCTAAAAAAACAAATTTAACCGTAAACGAGGATGCTACCCAGACTGAATTGGAAATGTTCAGGGGTATTTGTCCATAGAGGACGATCAATAAAAAAGGTGCCATACACTCTTCATACTGAATTACTGAAATTTCATTTGCATTTCATTTCAACAGCTTTCGTGAGAATGAGACGAAATGTAGTAATTCGTTTGCAGTAAGTAGACATAATCTGGGATATGTACAGTCCACACACCCGACATGGTGAACCTGCGTAATGGCAGGTTCAGTGGCCGTCATTTAGATTACTAGGAAGTGATTTTTCAGCTAGCAAAACTGGACAACAAAGAGTATACACCCAATAAGGTATAACAAAGACGTATTTTCGTATCACAACGATGATTGCGGGGGACACGAAAATGCTGAGTTATCGTGTGCTGCCTTCAGTCGGTATTCCAGTCAAGGAATATTCCAACGAACGTGTGTTCGTACGTTCTTATTATCAGGAACACATTATCCACTTAGTCAAGCGACCAGGAAGGGCTCCTTAGTGTGGCGGGTAGTGCATCGGCTATGTTCATGATATTAACTTCTTTAGGTGCCTGCCAGCTAAAGACAACAGGGCGACTTTACTACGTGGTCTTTTGTTGGGAAGTAAATGAACTGCTATTCAGAAAGTGTCCCTCTTCTATGAAGGGAACTACTCACAAGGTTGCTGAAAACTCTTCGAAGAGTTTCCCAAAACCAATCTGTGCGTACGAGGAACCGTTAAGAGTTGGAAACGTGCTTTCCTCGATATGACAATACTTATAAGGATGATCAAAACTCTTCGACAGCCCACTAACAGCTCCATTCTTCTGGGGGCACCAGAGGTAGGCATAGTCCCTGAACTCTTAGCAATCATATTTCCCACTTATACGCTGAACTATACGTAAGTGGAGTTGCATGCTAATTGGTTTTGACGTGAGACTCAGCTGAGTTGGTAATTTGTTGAAATTGCTGAAGTTGCTGAGTCCCGGTCTCCATCTCTTTCGTCGAGGCGATAGATGTGGTTTGCAGCGAACTACCAGCCCGCATGACTGGAGAATATCGGCACACTAACTGGCACGATCAGACCACAGGAAAACTGTCCCATTTTGAAGACGCAAAGTGAAATAGAAAGAATAAATCGCCCTCATCTACTGAGTCAAGCATGAGTTGCCCGAGATCGCGTGACAAGCACATGACCTAAGAGGGCCAAAGTCACAAGTCTGGATAACATTAGGGGGCAAGGGATAGGAAGACAACACAGGCTGATCTACAACAATTAGCATCAAATTACTGTGATACGAAGGATAAAACTTCTCTCTGTATCGTGATTTCACAAGTCGGCTTACACATGAAAGTGGGAATGGAAGTTCTGAAGCACCCCAAAGAATCTGCCTGTTTTGGTTCACTCTGTGCCTTACTAGTCAGTGGCTGCGCAGAGATAGTAGTAAACCTGAAGCGAAACTAATTCCCCAACTGTGTTGTGTTGCTCAGGTTACGTTCAACTCTTCGTACAAAAATATTGAGCCTTGATATCCTCTCCCTAGACATTGTACCGTCAACATACATGACTCTACACTAAGGACTACGCGGAAGCGACGCGAAACCGTCCCAGCTAATGGCCAGAGCGAGTCACAGAGCGGCCACATATCAATCATGGGATCGACTTTACTGCTAACTTTGACAATGTCATCCTAACAGGTCAATGACGGTCCACATTGGAAGTGTACTGAGAAACGTGCGTTCCCAAAGCCATGGGTATGTGTGTGAGCAAAGTGAGGAAGTAAAACAACTTATTTGAAGGTCATCTCCGCAGACGAATCAAACATTTGGGCCGTTCGAGGAATACTAGGGACAACGTCAGACCAGACAAGTGGATTAGCAGACTGAAAATGGGGTATCCCCAGACGACCAAACGTCTTTCTCCATCGATCTTCATTTTTTCCGACAATTAGCCTTTCCCAATGTGTCCGTTCATTTTCTTGCAACAATTTGATTGATTTCGGGATTTTTCGGAATACGAAATCATCATTCGAATCATCCCTGTCGAAAACTCCGACCAGGGATGAGTACGATGCAAAAGGCATGAAATGTGATTCGTGAGAATGAGACGAAATGTAGTAATTCGTTTGCAGTAAGTAGACATAATCTGGGATATGTACAGTCCACACACCCGACATGGTGAACCTGCGTAATGGCAGGTTCAGTGGCCGTCATTTAGATTACTAGGAAGTGATTTTTCAGCTAGCAAAACTGGACAACAAAGAGTATACACCCAATAAGGTATAACAAAGACGTATTTTCGTATCACAACGATGATTGCGGGGGACACGAAAATGCTGAGTTATCGTGTGCTGCCTTCAGTCGGTATTCCAGTCAAGGAATATTCCAACGAACGTGTGTTCGTACGTTCTTATTATCAGGAACACATTATCCACTTAGTCAAGCGACCAGGAAGGGCTCCTTAGTGTGGCGGGGAGTGCATCGGCTATGTTCATGATATTAACTTCTTTAGGTGCCTGCCAGCTAAAGACAACAGGGCGACTTTACTACGTGGTCTTTTGTTGGGAAGTAAATGAACTGCTATTCAGAAAGTGTCCCTCTTCTATGAAGGGAACTACTCACAAGGTTGCTGAAAACTCTTCGAAGAGTTTCCCAAAACCAATCTGTGCGTACGAGGAACCGTTAAGAGTTGGAAACGTGCTTTCCTCGATATGACAATACTTATAAGGATGATCAAAACTCTTCGACAGCCCACTAACAGCTCCATTCTTCTGGGGGCACCAGAGGTAGGCATAGTCCCTGAACTCTTAGCAATCATATTTCCCACTTATACGCTGAACTATACGTAAGTGGAGTTGCATGCTAATTGGTTTTGACGTGAGACTCAGCTGAGTTGGTAATTTGTTGAAATTGCTGAAGTTGCTGAGTCCCGGTCTCCATCTCTTTCGTCGAGGCGATAGATGTGGTTTGCAGCGAACTACCAGCCCGCATGACTGGAGAATATCGGCACACTAACTGGCACGATCAGACCACAGGAAAACTGTCCCATTTTGAAGACGCAAAGTGAAATAGAAAGAATAAATCGCCCTCATCTACTGAGTCAAGCATGAGTTGCCCGAGATCGCGTGACAAGCACATGACCTAAGAGGGCCAAAGTCACAAGTCTGGATAACATTAGGGGGCAAGGGATAGGAAGACAACACAGGCTGATCTACAACAATTAGCATCAAATTACTGTGATACGAAGGATAAAACTTCTCTCTGTATCGTGATTTCACAAGTCGGCTTACACATGAAAGTGGGAATGGAAGTTCTGAAGCACCCCAAAGAATCTGCCTGTTTTGGTTCACTCTGTGCCTTACTAGTCAGTGGCTGCGCAGAGATAGTAGTAAACCTGAAGCGAAACTAATTCCCCAACTGTGTTGTGTTGCTCAGGTTACGTTCAACTCTTCGTACAAAAATATTGAGCCTTGATATCCTCTCCCTAGACATTGTACCGTCAACATACATGACTCTACACTAAGGACTACGCGGAAGCGACGCGAAACCGTCCCAGCTAATGGCCAGAGCGAGTCACAGAGCGGCCACATATCAATCATGGGATCGACTTTACTGCTAACTTTGACAATGTCATCCTAACAGGTCAATGACGGTCCACATTGGAAGTGTACTGAGAAACGTGCGTTCCCAAAGCCATGGGTATGTGTGTGAGCAAAGTGAGGAAGTAAAACAACTTATTTGAAGGTCATCTCCGCAGACGAATCAAACATTTGGGCCGTTCGAGGAATACTAGGGACAACGTCAGACCAGACAAGTGGATTAGCAGACTGAAAATGGGGTATCCCCAGACGACCAAACGTCTTTCTCCATCGATCTTCATTTTTTCCGACAATTAGCCTTTCCCAATGTGTCCGTTCATTTTCTTGCAACAATTTGATTGATTTCGGGATTTTTCGGAATACGAAATCATCATTCGAATCATCCCTGTCGAAAACTCCGACCAGGGATGAGTACGATGCAAAAGGCATGAAATGTGATTACAGTATGATTCACTGACAACCACTAGCTGGGTCGACTGCTTATTGCTGAGTAAGTCAGGCTGTCACCTAGGATACCGAATAGAGATACCAATGTCATCGATATTGTACCAAAAGGATAAGTCGAATACGTGCTAGAATGCGCATCTGTCCCAGCCACACGAAGCGCATGGGTTACTCTTTATCCAAAGTCCCACGAAGTCAGCACGAAAGCCCGATAATCGGTTTCTTTCCTGTGCGGAACTGTCCCAATGATCATGGAGGTGGACCTTTAAGGTGGTGGCCTTACTAGTTGGATTATCCACAGCAGTACTGAAAGAGAATAAGTGTGGTGGAAGACGCTAGATGAGGAGCAGTAATGGGGACAAGAATTGTAGGCAATGGCATACCGAAAAACACACAACACCCTGGATGTATCCAAATGGATTGTTTGTGAAAGCCAGTGCTGGGTCGGAACGAGTTAGACCGAACTCACACACACTCATGCACGGATTTCAGGCTTTCGAATCATGAACTTACCCTGGTCGTCACATTCCTTCACTTCCACATGCACAAGTTTGTAGTGATTAATGTATTTACAAAGATAAGTGCCGGAATGTTGTGTGCCCAGATCAGCAAGGGTGATCGACACAGGAGTCTCATCAAAGTGGACCATTTCCCGTATTCTGCCGGAATCGCTTCGCAGTTTGAACAGTGTTGAACCAGACCTCTAATTGGAGAAAGAAAAGACGAGAAAGACATTGTTCGCATTGTATTGCACCAGGAAAATGGCAAACTATGTGCAGCTGCCTGGACATTGAGAATAAAGAAACCCTACCGACTATCGAGTGGCTGATCTGTAGTGCGTGTGGTTGAACATTAGCGATCAGTTACCATTCGTAGGGTTGTTAGATCAAATCCACCTCGAGATTCGCAGTGTCTATTATCTGTAGTGATGAATTGGCCGTAGTTTTCTTTTTCTCAACACAGGTTGACAATAGCGGAGCGAAATCACGAGTGAAACCAAAAAATCTTATTGATTACGAGAAATGAATAATGTACCCAGAAATGGAACCTCAATCGGGGGGCCGGTTAATACCATGATAAGAGACATCACACGCTATCAACTGCAAGTCAATTGACCGGCTTTCTATACCCGAATGGTACAGTGGTCAACCACTATCCAGAGAGAAACTTTCGGAAATAATGCAAGGACGATTCCCGGTAAAAAACGGAACGGATTTACAACACTTCGCTACTTTGTGGTGACTTTGCTTTAGTGGTGAGTAGCTGCTTCAAAGTTCGGTCAGTGTTCATCAAGAATGCTCCTCTAAAATACGGCAGATACAAAAGAAATCCGGTCATCTCGGGTGGTACGCCATCTCGAGTCCGGGAAAGTTAAAAAGCTAAAGTTAAAAAGTTAAAAAGTTTGAACAATAACGTAATCGATTGCAGAAACAAAGCTCTCTTAGTGCAGACAGGCCTGTCACGATTGTTGGTCGAGTTGGAAACAAAGCCGGATAGACGAAAGACCGCAGCAAAGTGAACAAAACACGGCAGGCCCCTGTCCATTCGGACAGCATCGGTCTAGCTGACCACTGACGTCTTTTTCCGAAGCGCCTATCTACGAAGAGCCGCTTGGTAAGTTGACCCTAGTCAATGACGCTAACTAAACTCTATTTATGGGCAGCAATGCTGGGTTTTCCACGTCCAAGATAGCGATTCGAGTTGTCCTACACCTAGGATGTGTCCGCCAGTAGTGTGGACACGAGAGATTTCTGCGATATTTCTAGCAACCGATCGTTCCGGAACCAACAGAAAACACTGTTCAGTAAGCCCTACACTTGCATTACAGAGTTGAATAAAAAAATATGTCCTAAAAATACGGCTGTCGTGGCACATTTCATGTGGACCTGGTGAGTAAAATCCGAATATCATCAGCCTGTCCACGGTTCATTTTTTCTTGGTGTCGACCATAAATATGCATACAGAAAGCATCACTGGGTGCAAAAATTTGAGCAGTATAGCAGCTGACGCATGCAGACAATGATGTCATGAATAGTAGTGTTATCAAGTTACTCTACCAGTCCATGTCGACTGACTCCAAAACTGGGATAAGACGGGGGAGATCGCATCGTCAAATATGTATTATTTTGCGATAAAGGTCCCGTTAGTCGTGCCTCACTACGTCCACCAATATTAGGATGAATTAAATACCTTTGGAGTAGGAACTGAAGCAAAACTAAAACAATGGAAAAAGCTGCTCAGATTTGAGCACGATTTGTTTGTAGGAAAGGAGCACAATCAAACCGTTCGTATTTTCTATGACATCTCCTTGGTCAAGCAGTATCAAACTCCTGATCTCAATAATCTTTCACCCACTCTGTCTAAGGATAGTGATGGCCTCCTCAGCCAGCGTCTACCTGGGAGAAACGTGCTGTTCCAGGTAGTTGGAGTGAATCGATAGCTGTGCCCACCTTTAAAAAATATACTCATAGCGGATGTGATGATCAGTTTGACGCCCGTCTTAACAAGGCATTCAGCGTCAGTGATAGTCCATTTACTTACGGGGGCACGGGAAGGGAAATATTGATCGGGATGCATCAAGCGGGATCTCGACCAGGTAGAGGTTGCATCGACCACATCATCACACTCCGTCAGGTGTTAGGATAGTGCTACATGTACAGACCATCCACCATTTTGATGCACCCTGGCTTCGACAGCGCATTTCGTTCTGTTGACTGGTCAGTGTTTCCAACCACGCTTGCTTAACAGAAGATGCCCCAGAATTAGTGAACATAATCCGGTCCGTACATTCACATGTGCCCGGGCATGTGAGTGTACAAAGAGCTCTCCAAAAGCTTCACTAAAAGTAGTGCCCGACTTCCCCGTCAATGTAACAAGGTGAATGCTGGGGTCTTTAAACCGTTGCTAGTGAAAATCTTGCTGAGCTGGAGTAAATAGACAACATCGTCCTAACTTTTGAAGACGAACAGAAAGCACAAGCACTGTTGAATAATCTGGTCATACTTCGGAATTTGCCTCGCACATTCAAACTGCAAAGTCATGCGTCAGAAAACTTCCAACACCGTCGACTGCGGTGGATCAGTCACACACTGTGTATACCTATTCATGGTCTTCCGAGACGACTTGTTCTGCGTGCCCTCTTCAGAATGATGCAACTTGTGACTTGTCAGAAGGATGTGAAAGATATTACGAATTGGGTTCTCTGTGACTCTCCTCGCGCACAGTTGGTTGACTGACACTGTAAATACACATCAGTGAAGTCAGCAATACAGAACTCGTAATATCAAATGTCAACTAGCACATAAAAAACTGAATTACTAGTGCTTAGCCACAAACTGGACGACAGCCTTGAGCCACCAGGACAACCACAAAACCTTCGGTCAAAGATCTCTTGTTTTAGATGAATATTCGCTACGGCCTCAGTTTGTTTGACCGGATAATGTTGATCCCCGAAAAATGACAGATTCGAGAAAACACTCTCACAACATGGCTCACTCGAATGAACACTGGATCCACATCAAAGCATCCATCGAGCAGGCAGTACGATGATCGATTGGAATGATCTTCTAATTTTGGACCTAAATACCAGACTTCAAGCTCTGAAGCCAAGCCCGGTAGCTGACAGTGAAGTGTTAGATTCCCGCGCAAACAGGCAGTAGGGCTCAGTAGAAAAAAATGGAGATCTGGGATCTCAGCTGGTCGGAGGGAAGCAAAGTTCAGGACAGGAGGGTGGAGACTGGAAGAAATGTTCGGAGATTCGGTCGAAGTGAAAGTAGGCTTGGTGGGTTCAGTGGGTTCGGTGGCATTGTGATCCAGTACCTGGAGGATTAGATCTGCAATGTCGTACACGGCTAAGGCTTCAAACCTAGGCCGGCGACATTCGGAAATCGGGTGTGGATCTTCACTGGAAGGAAAACAATAAAAAAACCGTCAACAAGTCTAATCTAGGATTGTAAAAAAACGAGGAACAAGTGAAGTATTGAGTTCCACATCGGAAAAAAAGGCTTCAGGTTGTTTTAAAGAACGTTGACTCAGACGTGACTAGAGGATAATCACTGGGAACTTTCCCATCTGGACTTGTTGGAAAGTGACCCATATCAAAATGCGCACCCATTAGATGAAATATCGATATCGACCAATCTTGCATAGAACTGCCTATTCATGATCCAATACGCTAGATCTGGGATCTCAGTTGGTCGGAGGGAAGCAAAATTCAGGACAGGAGGGTGGGAACTGGAAGAAATGCTCGGAGATTCGGTCGAAGTGAAAGTGGGCTTCGTGGGTTCAGTGGGTTCGGTGACATTGTGATCCAGCATCTGGAGGATTAGATCTGCAATGTCGTCCATGGCTAAGGCTTCAAACCTAGGCCGGCGACGTTCGGAAATCGGGTGTGGATCTTCACTGGAAGGGAAACAATAAAAAACCGTCAATAAGCCTAATCTAGGATTGTAAAAAAATGAAGAACAAGTGAAGTATTGAGTTCCACGTCGGAAAAAAAGACTTCAGGTTGTTTTAACGAACGTCGACTCAGACGTGACTAGAGGAGAATCACTGGGAACTTTCCAATCTGAACTTGTTGGAAAGTGACCCATATCAAAATGCGCACCCATTAGATGAAGTATCGATATCGATCAATTTTGCATGGACCTGCCTATTCATGATCCCATACGCGAAGGCTACTTGAGTCTGGGACAACCCAAACACCACTAGGCGCAAAGTTAGGACAGCTGGTAACGTATGATCTTACAAAAATTCCAGTTTGCACAAATACGCTAGTCACCAAATGAACGAAAGCATTCGGCGTGGTTTTGGTGAGTTGTCTATTGTTCTGTTAACGGAGGTACACCGTACTCTCCGGTGGTCAAAAGCTTGAACTGATGGATATTATTCTGTCCATCCCAAGGGACAAACTGACTTTACTCGAAGAGAGATAGGCTCTATGTTTAAACATCGTCAGCACCCTAACGGAATAACTCCAGATGCAGGAAAGGACATTCTAAATATGAACTTGAAAGTGGGAGACAGTTATTATCAAACAACCCTAAGGTCAGAAAACAGAACCCAAAATAGACCAATCGAGTGAATTTCACGTTCACCATTAACCTAAAATATGCCTTAGGACTAAATTCAGTGTGGTTCAGTCAATCAGTTTGTCCTCAAAACACCAGCCCCTATGATGTAACCCGTGTTGACAGGTTCTAGGGAAGAGCACTCTCTTCAAAAATTTACTCATGCGAATATAGGACAAATTCAGCCACCACAATGTAGCTACCCTCTTGAGAATAATTAAGGCCATGATAGGTCACAATTACTTCAGATGAAACGTAGAAAATTAGCGCTAATCATGCGACAAAGTTGGGCTTACCTAACCTTAAAACTTTCGAATACGATAAAATTGGTCTGGAGTACTGATGCGTTCGTCAAAGCGCCACTTTTGACTTCACACATGAATTCGGCACCTGCTGGAAGTCTGTGGATGGTGTAGGAGGCCCGGTAACAAGTTCCGTTCAAAAACACGCTGAGTTTCCTCGGGAGAATTGCAATTAAATCTTTGTGGCTGACGAGACGGGAACGAAAAGAGTGAAGATTGCGATTATAATTACCACATCAGTAATAAAATTATTGCAAAGCATCGCACGGAGCAGTTGCAAACAGCGTAATCTAAGTTATGCTGTATGTTCAATCAAAAGAACTGCCCAAACTGAACCGATCTGACAATTTAAGCATGAAAAATTTCATATTGAGCTTCGCGGCGATGAAAAGAGAAGTACACTGACAGCCCAGTTTTCCCTCAGGATGCTACTTCGTCCTATGAGAGGCGGAAATTAAACTTGAGGCGCCTCGTCAGATTACGCGAGATTTCGTTCGGTTTGTTTCGAAAAACGTAAGCTAAAAATTAGATAGCAGTACATGAATGTAGCCACCAGCGCACATCTAGACAGACTTCTTCTGTGATATTAAAGAGGCTATCGTAGTTTTGGCCATTGATTTGCACAAAACGTAATTCTGGAGGATTACAAACTGATGGCAAGTGGTCTAGAAGACGCTAATTCCATACTCCATCAATGAGTACATGCTGCCCGTTACACGGAATTGTGGTAGGACCGTATTTGATTGTCTTTTTGAGCTTTCGCATCTGGATGAGGAACAGTAATGTGAGGTAAAGTTATGTTCTCCTTAGGTGTGTCTTTACGATAGAACGTCTTTTGAAAGCAATTAGGCATAAAAGGTTCTTGATTGCCATTCACAAGCCTGATCATATGCCGTAATCAAGGAAGCGACTAATTTGAATCACATAAGAGGTAACGGAAGGGAAAGTGTGACCCAGAATCTTATTGGGCTGTCTTCAATCATGCGCAGGCAATGCATGAATAGTAATCCGTTTTCAGTGTCTTTTCAGTGTACAGTTGTTAATCAAACCGTCTCAGACACTGGAGTCGAAATAAATTCAGACTGCCTGAGCGTCTGAATCGCCATAAGCCGTCTGAGACCTGTGTACAACGGACTGGTACCTAAGGGCTTGCCGACCCACGGGAACATGGAGCGAAATGCCAGTGGAGCGCCCCCAAGTGATCCCCGAGTGCATCTCGTTCGCTGACGTCAATAAGCAGTTATTAGTTTTGCGAGGTAGCGAAACGCACGACAAAAGTCGCGTTTGGATCAGTCGTCGGTCTTAGTAGCATGCATACTAGCCACCAAAACGGGGGTCAGCCATTGATCAAGAGCACTTGTGATAACGGAGCTGCCGGACTGAGTCAACCGTGTGGGGTAAGCAGTCAGAGACATAAATACTTCATTATAGCCAACTGTCTGCACCTATGCAACACCACTGCCTCCTTAAGGAATCACGAGGTTAATGAGCGTACACTTACTGAAATGCCTGTGAGCCATCAATCGTCAACTAATGGTCGGCTTCCGAAGAGGATTGACAGCACATTGTGCTTAGAAATACGAAATTACACAGAACACTAATTGGACTGACTAATAACACCAGTAATCTAATAACAACAAAACAATTGATGCTAGTGGTCATTGCCGTGATTAAGTGTAGGCTGAGCTAGGGTCCGCCGACCTGGCACTGGCATCACACACTGGCATCAACAGCTTGCGTTTAGTACCCCCATATGGCTACGGTCAAACCAGCAACTGTCTGCAGGCACCAGTTGTTCAACCACTACCGATCGACCAATAGACATCCCGCGGGTGACAGATTTGTAAATACACAGTAACAGTACTGAGATGAAGTTACAGTCGCTTTAGTGTCCAAGTCAACACGGTCTTTCACTTATCCTAGATGAGATTTGTGTCCATCACTGAAGAATATGGGAGTTGCGTGGATATTAGTTTATTTTCCTGGACAAACGGTCAGAACACTTGGGACTTTGATGATATTCATCATTATCCATGAGATAAGGATGGTTTGCTGCTCACATTCATGTGTGAGTGCGACCAGTAACAAGGCAGTTGATTGGCCACTTGCGTTTGGCCATCAACTCATTTTGAATCCAAAAAAAAATTTCAAACGGTAAAGAGAAACCGCAGGATTAAGACCATCTACGGCATAGACAACAACCATGCTTGAGTTAGCAGGTCAGGCATCACAGACTGCTTACTCCGCCCGCCCAACTTATCCAGCTAACAGTTTCGATCAAGGAGTACACAATAACAACCGTAACTCAAGTCGCTGCACTACCTATTTTGGCCACCATTCAAACAGCTCGGTTTCATGAATACTCTACCTTTTTTATCTAGAAATAAAGCGCCAAATCGAGAAACGAGCGTTTGACATGAGCTTAGATAACGTGCGGTTGAGGACATCTGTATTAAGGATACTTGTGACTTTCGGTCAAGTCCGTTTACGGTGGGAGGAGTCTTGGTTTGGCAGAGTTTGGAGTCAACATAACTTAGGGCTGTTGCAAGACCACGAATGATCGTTGGGTACTCAAGGTAGAATTTTGCTTTGCACCGAGGTGAGAGGTAATCACTCTGAATCTGACTTTGGCTCACATACAATACAGAAGCACGTATTTCCAAACAACCTTCAAAGTCAATCACAAGACTGGATGAGCTTCCGTTGTCTTTTTGGTAGCTAACTGTCCTATGCATCATCAGAGACACAGGCATCACTAATACTACACTGCCGTGTAACCATAAAGCCTTAGGGTAAAAAAGAAGAGAGAAAGAGTAAGTGATGGAACACACCTAGTGCTGGCCTACGTCAAATATTGTGAGGTGCCTTCACCTCCGAGTGTTCAATCGGACACTCTGGAGAGAAAATGACAGCACGAACGCCGCTGACATCGATCAGCCGCCATTTCCTGCAGTTTCCAGTCACGGGAAGGCGTACAATGCCAACAAAACCCAAACTCTTCGTAATCTCTTTCACACTATTCTGCAGTCACACCATTCTGCGATCCAAAACGAGCAACGCTTCTGAGGCATCGGTAGCCAAAATATTCTATCTTCACATAATCTGTTTGAAGAGGCCACAGTCATACAACAACACAGCCCTTAATGTAGCCTGGCATACGCGACCCCTAAGACCCAATGGTTTACCTTTTTCACGCCGCAAGTGACACAAACGTGATTCCATTCTTAGCGATTCTTGTACAGACTTCACCAGATACACTTGCCTCAGAGCTAACACAACTATCAAGATAGGTAAAATTCTCCACGACATCCTGTGGTTCTCCTCGGAGACCGCGCGTTTTAAAGCATGGCTTTACACTTTGAAGGTGCTAGGCGCATGCCGAAAGAAAGTATGGCAGTGGTCAGTCTATTCAGCAAGGCTTGTGCTTCATCTTCATCTTCAAACATGAGGGTGATGTCATGTGCGTACTCCAGATCAACAAGGTTCTCACCAACAACAATTTGAAAACCGGGATTTAAAGACTTCCCGGTATTTGCCTCATTAGTTCATCAATCATGAAACTGAACAGTAGCTGAGAGTGGAAATCCTTGTTGGACACCACTATTTTGTGGGGAAGCTTTTGAATAGCTCGCCATAGAGTATCAAACACCCAAAAGTATGTGAATGTAGGATCGGCTTATGTTCACAAACTTCTGAAACACACCCTGTTGAGCAAATGCATTTAACAATACCCACCGATCGTCAGAATCGAACCCACCATTGAGATCAAGGAACACCAAGGTTGTGAATCATCTCTACATGTGGCTCTGTACATGCTCTAACACTTGATAGAGTGTAAAGATTTGATCATCTCAGCTTCTACGCCGTCGAAATCTTGCCTGGTTCTCACGCACAAAGGTTTCGCGTGCCACCGTAAGACGACGAAGAATCAGTGACACCAGAAGTCTTGTCACAACTGGAGTCAAACTAACACCTCTGTGGTTGCTGCATTCACTGCGACTATCCATTTTGAAAATGGGCACTATTATCGATTCACCCCAGTTGTCTGGGATGGTCCCTTTCTCTCAGATGGACCCACATAGGATAGACAAGCACTGGCTGAGAAAACACAGCCATCCTTGAACAAAGCATGTGCAGGGTCATCAGAATCAGTAGCACAATGACGCTTAAGTATAGACGCGGACACTTCAGAGACAAAAGGCGGCTTTATATTCAGTCTGCCTTTCTGTTGGTAGCAAGTGGCTACCTAAATTGCTATGCGAAGTACTGTACCTGGCGGTCCAAACGCTCTGCTTCGCTGGTTGATCCTCGCCACTGGTGGCGATGTGACCGATTTGGATTCTGAGCTGGTTCGTTGGTGGGTCCCACAGTGCACCACGTTTCCGCTATTCTGAAAATTGGTACTGCAAGGGAACAGTCTATGATACACACACATCCGAAACAGGTGATCTCCGTTGTCCTTGCGTCTATTGTCCAATCCAAGATGACGACCTAGTTAGGCCTCAGCAGTACTTGGTCTACGTACATTGGCGTCTAACGTTAGCAGCAACCACAACTATTTCTGAGCTTTTAGCCTGTGGAAAAGAGCACCTAGAACGTCAGAGAAACTATCTTCGGCAGATTCAGAGCTACAGTCCGTTGGGTCGTAAGCGGACACAAGCGATCAAACTCGCTTTCTCGAGATTCTCCCGCAGACGTTGTGAAACGAAATGTGTACGAGTATCCAGTAAGAGAGACGTTTCCGCCTCGTCGCTCAATATAGTATGATCCACAATATATTCAGATGCACCGGCCAATGCCTAATCAGAGATGCGGAGCCTGAACCAGGAGGAAAGCTAGGGGGTTATCAGTTCAATCACAATACTGTCGTCCTCTATCGATGTTTCTGATAGACACTATACATCAATGTAGAGAGAATCCAGGGAACGAACAAGAGCCATCTGTTGTTTCGCTTGCTGTAGCCTAAGAATATCGAAGGCGGCTAAGTTGACCGGCTTCCTGGCTTTGAGAAAAGACTTCGAACTGTTTATGGTTTTTGCTGAAGTCGGACTATAGAAGATGCAGCTGAGTGTGATGGACAGCGAGCAAAACGGTCAGTCCGAGTGCTGAGACCCTTTGAGAGGGTATTCCAGTTAGGATGGGTAGTGTGCAAAAGGGAAAACGTGAAAGCGTAGACAGGGAGACGACACTTCCCATAAGTTTTTCGAAGCTCACTGGTTGAATCGAAGGGAGAAAGGGTCCATTTCAATGGTACCATAAAATCCTAACAATCATTTGTTCCGCTGAGGTCATCTTCCTGTGTATATGATGTTCCAGTTCGTGGTATCTTTGGCGAAATGTGCAGAGCATTGGCAGAAATATCCATATTCTGTCCTAATTGCCAGGTGATGAGCAATTAACAGTGGCGGAATACGACGTGACAGACCCTTACAGTGATGTACATCATCATCACCATCGACAGCATGACATCAGTGTTCAACACCGATGCCTCACTGCCGTAGCATCGGCAGTGATGTACACCACAAGCCCAATGTGTGACCATAAAATACCGTTGGTCAAGGTTTGGTATGATGTGATAAAATACGGTGATCGCCAGCTATCTTTCTAGCTTGGCCTGGTGAATGTATTATGGGCCATTGTGCACGCGATATAATTGACTTGGTGCATGCGGACATCCAAACGGAAACCTGTCGGATCTCCCGGGCACGCCCTGAGCCGCATCCGTTTACCAGCTCTTTGCAACCCGAAATGCCGTTGTCTGTCCTTCCATTTGTTGGCTTAAAGCGCCTCAAATGAGATCCAACGATGACCCACCCGGAAGACTGTGGCGTTACAGCACTTATCTCCCCGCCGGGAGGAGCACCAGGACACTGAATAAGTGACTTCAAAGGCTAGAAAATTTGGGTGCGTTGTGTGGTCGATGTATCCATTCGTAACAAAAATATTGGGCATTTTCTTGTTGGGCTCATGGTTCCTTTTAAAGACATCTGTATCTAGATGTGCAAGCGGATTCTAAAAAACCCTCTCGCTTTCTATTATTAAATTATCGGAGAATGAAAAACCAGGACATCGGTATGGACCAGACAAAGCAGTTAACTCTTTCGTACAAGATATGTATCCAGAACACTTCATATCCTACGCTGTTTTAAATAACCCACCCACACCATATGAAATTTTAGACAGCGATTAGAAGGCTTACAGGGCCTTTTGGCAAGACCTCCGTTAGTAACCCCATCCAGGAAACGAACAATTTTTTTTAAAATTTCTTATTCTGTTATTCGCGCATGTGGAACCAAGATAACTGAGTACTGACATCTACCCTGAATGCTGGCATGGCAGCTAGGCACCAAAAGGGTGCTATAGCTGGACGGTAAGATGATATAAGAATAAAACGCTTGAAAGATGAATAAGGTTGCCTCAACCGATGAGCATCACGTACCAGACCCTAGTCGATTTGTGTAGATCTTTGATTTCGGAATGAAAAGATCTAGTACTACAACCTTTAATTAACGCCATAAAATACGCAACATTAGCCATGGGGGTGTCTGAATCGAAAATTATGAGGCGACCAATCAAGGAACACTAACGACAGGATTATCCAAAGGTTTAGTGCTGCATGAGCCACAAACCGTAACGTTCGCGAGTTGAGTAGCCATTTGTCTTTTCAATGGCTGCTGTATAGGCCTTGAGCACTAGCTATGGACCGAAAGAGTTTCAGCTGGGCTGAAAACATTCCTATCTTCTTCGTATGACGACGAAAGTGAGGATGTGTCGCAACACAGCCGAATAACCGGCAATACGTATTCACTGTTCCGTAAAGAATGAAAAACGTATCCTGTAAATTGTTTGAGCTTCTAAACTCAGTTATCACGATGAATAAACACTGTGGATTTGGAAACACATTTACACGGTCACTTGGGTCAACCATCCAACCCAATTATGTCTCCCAGAGAAAGATGCTACCTGCAAGCAACTTTAGGACAAGGCGTTTCTCACAATAAACCACTGTCAGTGGACAAGACAAGCCATTACTTAGTAAGTGGAGCACGAAGCTCTACATGTAGGTCTTCGGAGTGATTCGACGAATGTCCCAGCCGAAATTTCGACTGGATTGCCTCTACCGTCAGCTCAGTTGATTGTGGTCACCTTCATCCATAAAACCTAAGCTTGGTGTTAAGACCAAGTATCATGACCGAAAAGCTAATTTCTCGTTCTCAGAATTCGTCATTTCAGTGCCATTCATGGGATCAAATGACCATAGGGAAGCATCTGGCTTCACGAAACTTGCGAGGCCACTAGTTAGGCAGCCGACAGTCTAAATGGTTGGTAACCAAATAGTGCAGAAAGTGACTATTGGAAATCTCCCCACGAGTAGTTGTCGCGCAGTGTGAACTAACCACAAAGGCAGGTGCCTCAAATTCAAGGGAAGCATGCGATAAACCAGGAGTGGGTTCTAACCAGGGGGAGCAAGATAGGTAGATCCCGCCTTAACGTATGAGTTGTTTGAACTATGTCTCCGGTGACTCATGATGGCGACGGCTTTAAACTCAATTACAAGATAGATTGCGAATTATCTGCATCAAAATATCTCTATTCCGAGTTCATGTACCTACCTCAGATATAGTTGGCGCTGTATCAAAATGATCGGTGGGTCCAAACCACCGTACGATGGGTTTGGTTGAGCCTGAAGAATAAATGAAAACTTCCAATGTGACTGGTTGGCCTTTGAAAACATGCTGGCCGTCTTCTCGTTTCATTTTTGGGTGCCAATAAACCTCCCCTGTATGGGAATTACTTGGTAATATGTTAGTTACCGCTTCGCTCAGTCGCTGCGTCGGCAGGAGCTGTTCTCTCATGCAACGCTAACGATCGCGGAGTAGGCTCTAGGAGATCACTCAAGAATTAGGTAATTTACCCACAACGGATATATTGTACCCGGCACATTTGTGGAGCTCGTTGGCAGGACCCGTAAAAATGCACCTGTATATTCCAGCGTCGTTCATTCGCAGATCCAAGATATGGAGAGTGGCACTCTTCAGTATATGTTTACCCTTTCTGCCCCATAATTTTCAACATATTTAATGCGGATACCTTTGTTTGATCAGCATGTCGTTGTGCCACCACGTGGGTACAGCATTCATACTTGGATTGCACGCGCACTGTAGAGAAAGCGGAGAATACATTGACTGCGGTATGGTCTTAAGAACATGTGCTCCGTCGATTGCAAGAACAAAAAACAGGTATCTTGCAACCAGATAGGGTTGGAGCATTTCAGGAAACCGAGTTAGCGGTCATCGGCGAAATTTCTCACATTCAAATACGCCTTCAAGGTCCCACGCCAATTATCACGCGCCTCTAGTGCATTAGCATAAAGTGTGATAGGAGTAGGTCAGTTCAACCCAATTAAGTGTTTACGACTCGGCTCATCTCACACAGCGTAAAGCACAAGGGTTTTTGGCCCTCTCAAAGCGCCGCAAATCCCTAAGCTGAGTTACTATGGTCATAATAAGCTTCTTTGTTGCCATTCTTTCGAAAATCGTAATATTTCCACCAACTTGACAGTTACCATTTTCTCTACCCAGGATTACAAAGTTTCCAACATTAATCCTCCTTGTATATGTAAATTGAACCTTACCATCCGCTTTTAATCCACGTCCTATCACCATTGGCCAGTCCCCAATGTCGAATGAGGCTCTCAAGCGATGTGCGCAAACCAACTGCGCAAGCCACATATTAAATCAGTCCCAGTGGAGGACCTTGTTGCAACTCCTTCCTCGTGTTACCTCCACAAATTAGCGGGAGTTCTCATAGACATAACTAAATCTACAAGAATAAGAGCTCTACTGGCAGAACATATTAGCTGGGTTTCAACTGGGATAAGCAATAGAATGCTTTTTGGAATGTGAGTCAGGCACGGGTAGTGTACTTAAGAAGCTCCACTCAGACAGAATTAACAAGAAATTTTTCACGGATTCACGGATCTACCCGAATGTGGTGCTCTGAGCTTGAAAATCTTTTTACTATGTCCCCGCCGGGTGTTTGCTAGGTCAGCGGTGAAAAACCCGTCTGCCAACCTTTGTTCAAACAGGGCATGAGTAAGAATTACGTCCCCTCGGAGGCGACGGTACTCCAGAAGAAAGAGATCAAGCATCGCAAGACGCGTTTCGTAGTTCACGGATTTGAGGCCGGCAACCATTCTCGTAGCGGCTCGCTGGACACGCTCAATGAGGGCGACGTCTTTCGTGCGTCCTGAGTAGACAACTTGGTTGGCGTACTCCAGGAGCGGTCTGACGTAGGCCCCATAGAGTATTTGGAAGTCCATGCGAGTAATACGGGAGAAGGT